CGACGCAACCTTAGAGGAAATGAAAATATATACAGGGTTTGAATCTCCGTTCATTTGTCGATCTAGTGCACATGCACGGAAAGCGACCTGGCATCAGCTTGGGTTTTCGGGGGTTAATGGAGAGGTTAATATTTGAGCTACGCACGATAACCAGCATTGGACTTTTTGCATTCTTTGGCAGTGGTTTTGCCCACATTTTTGGAGTAAAGAGTAAAGAGTCTCAGGGATACAAATTTGGTAGCATCAAGGCATTTAATAAAGCGGCTGACGTGCGTCAATCAAAAATGCTTATTACGCTCCCTAGTGATGTAGTTAGTGGTGAAATTACTGGAACCGGCCTAGACTTCAGGGTTCCGTTGGCGAAGATTTTTTCAGAGTCCACAGATACAAGAACAAAACACTCTCAAAAGTACTTTTCACAGTTTATTACATTCTCACTGTGTCTATTAAGATCAATTTTTCATTTATATTAGAGACGAAAAGTTCGTCTTTTCTGGGTTTGAACGGCTAGTCAATATCAGTCGTACTAGAGACCAAAGAGAGCTTTAGATTTGAGGACAGGAACGAGTGCGATGTTTAACTTAAAGTTTTTACGCGCGTTCTCAAAAAAAAGACACTCGAGAAAGCTTAGCTCCATTTTACTTTTTTTCACTAAAAAATTTAGTACGCGTATTTATACTGAACTAAGGTTAAGCCCTTTCCCGATAGCAAAATGATAAAAATTTGTACATTTGATATCTTGTTCCCGCCACCATGACATTCTCCCTAAAACTCGTAGTAGAATGACGACGGCTATCACGTTTTCCCGCCAAAATGACGTTGGTACTCAATCCTTAGTATTGAGAAAATCTCTTACTCGTAGTCGTCCTCGTCTCAGAATCTAAAGCTCTCTAATATTCGTTACTTATCTTTAGCATTAAAAATTCATTAACTTTAATCTTACACTCTCGACCCAGGGCAACAATTTCACAAGTTTCACTGTGTTTTTCAGTTCGTCGAGTCTCTTCATTTATTACTAGGACAAGTCCAGTTTGAATATCAAACAATTAAACTTTTTCCATTTCTTTTTCATGGGTAGCAATTCCATAAAGATATGATTTGAACTAACAGGGGGAAACCGGAGCACCCCGGAGAAAAACCACCTCTAATGTGCCTTCTAGTCTAACTGATTAAATATATAATATTTAATGTTCTCGGTGAGCATACACAACTCAATTACCATAGCTCACTGTAAGCATGACTTTCCAGTTGCTTGTCCACTCACAATTTAAGTCTCCAAATTAATATTGTAAAAAAAAGGTCTCCAAATCGTTTCAAGTCCAAATAAAGGTGCTTATACCGTCTCATAGTTCACAACTAATTCGGTTATTAAAAGTCATTGTCAACCTCTGCATGTTTTCTATTTGCTAATTTATTACTGTTTCCTTCTTCTTTGTTCGTAAAAAAAAAATCCTAATGGTGAGATAACCCATAAATAAAAACTACCTGTGTTAGACCATAACCAGGAGAGACTAGCTACCCGACTATAAAATAGGCAAACTATATTATATCCGTACACAATGTCCTAAATAGAAGGATGCAAGCCAGATCGAGATTGATACGGTGCCTACCTCCCCTGTCCTTTCTCTCCCCAGTCTCTCGCTCGATCCGCTGTCTCAAGAGTCTGAAAACCTGAATTTTTTTCTAAAACCGGTGTTATCAAGAGAGAATGAGCTACAATTGTAGCTCATTCTCTCTTGGTTTTATAAATCTGTCGTATCGACTATGACCTTCAGAAACATAGTATCGTCTCGGACGTAAGCATGATCGTTTAATTCCGACAAAGGACAGAATGTAGGGCACCCACTAGCGATGTTTGTTTCTCTTCTTGGTCTCTGGAAGGATGAGCTGTTTGGATCAGGTCTGAAGGAGTCGATCACGTGCTCTACGTTATTCTGATCCAGCAGCATGAACGTTACCTTCTGTCTGAATGGCCAGCGGAGTAACGCATCGTACTCACCACGCATGACAACAAAGAATACCGAGATGTGTGTCCCTCTTCCAATACCATCACCATTCAAGTAGATGCGCGCGCACATCTTGTATCCATAGCGACTGGTAAAGAAGCACGGGCTATAAAATGACGTCTGTTGCCCGGAGACGGCGTCTTGCCGTTTTTTAGCGAACTCGGTGATTTTCCAAAGCAAGATTCCATCGTGACTGGAGATTTCCTGCTGCCTCACATATTCGTCCAAATCTGTCAGCATAACATTACGAAGAGCTAGTGAGTGACTCATGGACTCGAACTGTCTTTGTAGGCGATCAGTTGTTCCATTCGAAGATTCCTGTTGCCTGGCTACGTTAGACACCTTTCTTTGTAGTTCTTCACTTAATCTACTTGCTTCAACGAGTAAAAGTTCGAGATTGGCTGTCTTTCCTTCTTCTGTAGTCATCCTCTGTAAAAGCTCTTTGGCGAGCGTTGAATCAAATGCTGATGCTGAGTTTGACCTGTTGTGTCTCGAACTTTCCAGTTGCCTTACTCTTTCTTCTTGTTGAGCCAATTTTGATTTGAGTTCTTCATTTTCTTTCAGTATATTCTCAACTTGTTTAGCATAGCGTTCCAAATCTTTCTGTTTTGGTAGATTTACGCCGTTCATTGACACGAGACCAGATTCCCGCATGGTCTTCCCAACCATCGAGAAGAGCTGCATTACGGTCTGAAATAGGAGCATCAAGTGACCGGAAGCATTTTCCTCTTCATGCATTCTTCGTTCCTGCAGCTTCATAGTCTACAGAAAACGAAAACGACATGGTGTATTAAAGCTCAGAAACGTTAATAAACACGCAGCCCATCCACAAATTTCCGAACGATTGCTGACTTGGAGCATACAGTCAAACTTCAAGTGCCGGATTCAAAAGTGGCCCGTAGCTAGCTTTGATCAAGGCTCAGTATGAGCTTTCCGGAGACGTCTTCGCAAACCTGCACAAGCTAAGTACCACTCAGTAAAAGTTTTCCCTCGACAAAATCACATATAAAAGATCTCCCGCCCTCCTCTACAGCAGTCTTTAAATTTATGTAAGACAAATCCTTGACATTTGTTTTAGCCTTTCTCTGGCAAGGGAAAGTCATCTTACGTGTAGCGGCACTTTACACAAAAAACGATCGATGCCATTCATGTTTGAACATTAAACTTCCCGTCTAAAGCACGACCCCCTCCTATAACAAACGTAATCTTAAGTATTTGCATACCTTTGTCTCAGGGCATCCAATTTGTGCCCAGGGACAACTTGTTTGTAATTCCTCACAGTCTCCATTTACCGGATCAATATGGGCAGGCATCTGATCGAGTGAGAAAGATAAAAACCAAAATTAAGTCCCAAACTTTTTATTCCAGAGTTACGGTAACTATATGTAGTATGATATAAAATGTTCTTGAATTAAATTTGTTACCCACGCAACACCTAGCAGCAACCTGTTAAGAACTCTTTTACAAAAGTGCGCGCGTTGCAGATTAAACGATCAAATCCGCGGTACGGAGAAAGATGGATTGATGGATTTACCCAGAGTTCCGCTGGTGGCGCCATATTTTTTCATACCGAGAAGTGGGACTCTGGAATCATAGTTTCGGAGAGTACGCAAAAACATAAAAACAGGAAGAAGAAAACATCTCGGAGCATGGAAGACAACAAAATTAGATGCGTTGCCTTTTTTTCGATTGCAGAAAGTGCTTTTGCAAAGTATCCAGTGATGCCAGTGAGCATCAACTTCGCAAATAAAAATTTTCAAATCAAAAATGCTTGTAAGGCTTACTCACCTGAGAACGAGGGATACCCTTTCTCCCGCATTCTGTGCAAGTCTCAGGGACTGAGGGACACTGAGAGTCCTGGTGTTCCTGTGTATAATTAATTATGTTAGTCATCAGTTTAGAGATCACTGTGAACAAAGTATCCAAGCTGACTGGGTTTTGAATGAAAAAGAAAAGATCTCTTTTTTATGAGACTTAACACTAGCAACTACTTCTGCCGATTTCAGATGCTAGCGGGTTATAGGCATGACTAGAAGAAATGTTCAAAGAATCAATGAGCGCCAGAAGAAAGAGAAATTAAAAATGAGTAATCTTATGAAGACCGATGAATAACTTCACAACAAGGAAATTTATTGCTGCAAAGGAAGACTTAAAAGTAAAAGGATCGTATCCTAAATGAGGACAACTTAGGGGTAAAAAACAATTTCATGAGGCTTATTGTTACCTTCAAAAATGCAAACTCTACAAGAGTTTGGCAGTGATCACATTTTTCCATTCTGAATTGACACCACTTCTCAAGATGCTCTGCCAGATTTGCTCTAGTCACCAGTTCACCGCATCCTTTATGCACGCATGGAACTTGAACGTACTCACACACAGCTTCGTGATCCTAACACACGAGAACATGTAATTGTCAATTTTCATGACTTTATGAAAAGAGTGGCAATAAAGACAGTCTAAAAGATACTCGCACAGCAGCATTATTGTGGAATCGACATATTTTAAACTAGGGGTATCGTAAAATCAAGACTAAAGAATAAAACAAGTGTGTCAAAACAAGTAGTTAATCATGCGCCCTATACTACTTCAGCCTGATTGAAATCGCCATATTCGGCTAGTGTTGTTACACAACCTAATAAGATTCCTGCGCCGAAACACGGCGTAAATCATGTGCCTATTTAGGCTCACTTGAAAATCGCTATATTTCGTCTGTTATGTGGAGGACATCTCTAGCGAATTCTGCAGAGCTCGGGCCTCACTGGTCAGAGGGTCTACCTGAATGAGATGGTGACTTCTATTTGTAAATTTGGCTTTTATACAATCTCTCTTAGTATTATCACTGATGGAACATAAAGTGGCTGGAAAAACAACGTTCACGCCTCTCATTACCCTTGTCTAAGGATTCGAACCCCACTGAGACCCTCTGGGCAGCAGGGCCTAAACTGAGTCTGTTAATTCTTTATTTATCACACCGATATAAGATACAGTTAATAGCAATCAGTAAAGTATAAACATCATGACTCATTTAAACAGCACAACGCCCAGTTGTTACCTCTCTTTTCCTAAGCTCGTCTCTCCAATCACAACCTTCTTCTTGATGAATGCAGTGAACCAAGAGTGACTGAATCTCACGCTCGACAAATCGGTCAAGAAATACCTGTAACAACAACAAACGGTTCACTTTTACAATAGTAAAATATTAAGTTTGGCAATTGTAACTTGGACCATTCCTTTTCATTGTTACAATAATCATAACTATAACAAAATTCTCAAATCTGATTGGCTATCAACTGCCCTGATTTCAGCCTTAATTGGACAATTTAATAGGACAGTACGCGTCATGCCTACGTAATTGGACAGTACGCGCCATCACGCGCGCGCTAAAATGGCTTTTTTTAACTACTAGCAAAAAAAAATGGAGTTTCTTCTGTTTTGATTTCCAAAAAGGGCCTTATATATTACAAATTTTGTTAAAGTTATGATTAATTGGTAACAGAACTTCGTGTCGTCCAATTCAGTGTGTAATCATACTCATGATTAAACAAATCGGACTCCCGCTACGCGGTCGTCCGATTTTGTTAATGACCCGACCTATGATTACAGACCGCATGAATTGGACTCCACTCAATCCTGTTACCATTACTACAGTATATCGTTTTCGTTATTGCTGTCGTCATCGTCGTCGTCACCGTTATTATTATTGCGTGATCCTCTTCAGTTCTCTGGTATTTTCTGGGTGTCCGTAGCCATGATATAGAAGCTTTCCGCAGCTTAGAGACACAACATTTTCCACAAGATATGAGCAGTACAAAGGATAGCCGACAACTGTGCACTTCCAAAAACGTCAGGCAGACTCAACCTCCCATACCAGACCTTTGCATTCTTCGAAATAGTTTCAAGTGCACCAATCACGACGGGTATAGTCATTTTCGTGGCTCGTTATTATTATTGTTATTATTATTATTATTATTATTATTATTATTATTATTATTATTATTATTATTATTATTAGTATTATTATTGTTGTTGTTGTTACTATCAACACAAACCAGACAGAGACACTCGCAACAGTGACTGTATGAAATATATATGAGCTACAGAGTAGATTGCTCATATGAAACGATTGGCTTCTTTGTCAGTTTAGACCTGTACATTTAGAACTTAAAAAAAATTAAACGCAAGCTATTACTGCAGAGTACTTCTTTGTACTGTGTGCTGCTTTCAAAGTCAGAGAAATCATTGACAAAAACTGAAAAAGCGATCACAAACCTGTTCTTTAGTGATATCTGATCCATCGACGATGCATTTTCCAACATCCTGCCTTTAAATGAAGGGAAAGAGATCAGTACATTTGAACTGAAATTATTAACACAATAGAGAGAGATTTAGAGCCACGATTACCGCGTCCGATTCAACTTGAGAATTACTCAAAATGGAAAATCAGCAGATAAAAACAATTCGATTCTTATGAACACAAGTAATGTGAAACTACCTATATTTTTGTAGAAGTAATAAAGAGTAAAAGCCAAGTAAAGAGAAAACTTGGTCACGTGGTACAACTTAGCGTAAACGGGACTCAAAGTCTCTCCTATAATGCATGACATCACATCACAGCATTGCTCAGTAATCAGAGAGAGATATCAGATATCTACAGCGTATTTAGCAACTACTGCAGTTATATTAGCCAGGTGTTAGAGTACTAGTCAATTATTTACAGAATATTAACCAGTTGTCCGTAGCACATATTTTGATAATTATCTGGCCCCCGAAAGTTGCTCAAAAGGTGGATAGTGCTATCCGGGCGCCAGATGAATCACTATCTAGTGTCTATCAGTACGAAGGAAATCAATCGCGCCATCCGTTGGATAGAGATTTATCTGGTGGATAGTGCAATTCTCCTTTTAAACAACTGTGGCGTGCGGTATATCAGTTACTCTGCAGTATGTTTGGTCACCGACAGTATATCAATCGATTACGTTTCGCACCATGTATAGCCTATGTAGCTGGCAGTTTTTTGTTGTGTTTTTTCTTTTTTCTTTGAACCGCAAAAGATAAAACACACCAAAACGACCGACAGCTACGCAGGCTACCCTATTCAAGGTAATCCGAATTCTGGGGAATCGGGCAAATTTTTGCTTGTGGGATCCAAAATCCTGGGTTATGGAAACCGGGATTCAACTCAAGCCATCTGGAATCCCGCTGGCGATTGTAATGCGGAATCCAATTTCCGCTGACAAGGAATCCGGAATCCAATTGCTGGTTTCCTGAATCCAGCTCGTGCAATCCAGAATTCTAGCCTGGTGAGTAGAATAAAAGACAATACCAATTCCTGAACCCTTACTTACTTTAGAATCGCCTCCACGCATGTCTTACAGTACCTATGACCACATGCTATTGTTTGCACAGCTTCTCTAAGAAGTCCCTCACATTTAGGACATAAATTCTTTTTGTCGATCAATGATCGGTCCGCTGGAGATAAATTGTATCCAGGCATAATGAGGCTAAAGAAAGATAAAACATAATAGAACTGAGGAACAAATTTACTGGATGTAATTGTGTTTTGCTATTTTTGTATTCATATTATGATTAATTAAGTAATAGTGTTTTTTTGTGAAAGGCTTGAACCCAGGAGTCATTTCAAAAATAGGTTGAGTTTGATAGTCCGGGTGAACGTAGTCCTGAATAGGACTGTTGTTGTTGACAGTGACTGACGTTTCGACAACCTGTGCGGTAGTCATCTTAAGAGTCAAAGTGAGTTGTATCACGTCAGTTGATGGTGTTATACTGTGGTTATTGATCTGATAGGTCAATTACGTCGCGATGTTATTGGTCGTCTGTCAGTTAAGCCGTGATGTTGTTGGCTATGAAGACTCGTAATCAGTAATTGGTGCATTTCGATCCGTCTATTGGCACAGTTAGACAGTCGTCTACTTTTAGTCAAATTGTCAGTTCTCAAGTCGTTCCCTCGTAGTTAGTTTTTGCTTGATCTCGTCAATAACTCGTTTGTACGGCGCTGGTAACTGTTGGCTACGATTTTCATCGCATCTTTGCTTTAATGTAACTACGGCCCGGATCAGCAGCGTTGAGCACAAGTGTCAACCGGCTGTTTACATAATTAGTTATTTGCATGGTTTGCAGATTTTATTCAAGGAATAGGCTGACGTATAATTCTCTCAACTACGATATAATTATTGTTTTCTACATTAAATACGAATAGCCTAAATTTGTATGTAGGAACCTCATATTAGCGGGGTAACTGTGGAGCAGGTAGGGTAATACTCGGGGGTATATAATATAGTACTTCATTACAGCGAAGTCGGGAACTACTGATAAACGATTTTTGTACACCACTTGCCTCCTCTGTTAGGTTTTCAATTAACATTTTGTACTAAAAGCTATTATATTCAATCCTCCGAAGCTAAGGCAATAGTTCCGCATGATAAAAGCACGGCGCACTTAGGTAGAAATTAGACAGAGTTCAGTCTTTTCGAAGAAAAGACAATTTATAAAGAAAAGACTGCGATCAAGTTTTAGATAAATTGGCTTAATTGTTACACCGGCAGTCTGGATAACAACTGACCTCTATTGTATGGTGCAACCTGTTCGTGTATTCCTGGAAACTTTGGTAGATGATCGAAAATTTTGTGATTTTTTGCGGAAGACCTGGAGCACCTCCTCTGGCAAGAAGCCGAATACTTTTAGTTAAAGTTCGTCTGTATTTCTTGGTATTTGTCATTAGTTTTACTCCGCATCGAAATTGTGATTAAGAGGTCTGATGCAATACTTGATTGTTTGTAAATTGCTGACCCGTTTCCGGAACTTAAATCACGTAGGGAATTAATTGACTTGGTCAGCATCACTTTATTAACTGTATACCGTGATTTTCCTTGATCTGTTCACATTCTTGAGATTCCGTAGTTGGTGGTATGTGAATGGTCAGCTTTTTTCACGATGCCGCAAGGTCAGCTTTTCTACGGTGCTGACGCTGCATATCGCTGCATGTATCCGTCGAAGTTCAAGAAAGAAGAAAAGGTGCAAGAAGGGAAGCGTGTGTCCGGAAAGAGTGAGTTGAGCTTAATACAATTGATTTAAGTTTATATAAATCCTCAAATTTTAACACTTGTTCTCCATTTCTCTCTTTGTTTTCACGATTAGTGTTCAGGGTTCGAGGCACGTTTATCAATTTGCCTAGGGGTATTGCGTAGCTTGTTTGCCGGCCTGGAATCTATCTAACCGGGAAAAAGAAAGTAGAGCCTGATCTCAGCTTAGTGCGGGACAAGTTTTCGGTAAGATACGAGTGTTAGCAAATTCTAGAAATCGATGTAACTTTATTCAGGTTTGACTACAGTGCATGGCTTTTATACGTTTTTGTACGTTTCCAAGCATGTTACGTCGCTTGTCATCCGAGCGAAAGCTTCAATTAGCTTTAAACTCTAGTGGTAATTTAAGCTGTTTCATAGTATTGCATATCAACGGCCTTTGGTCATTGGAGAATGTTCGATTGAATTTAAATAAGATTTCGTGCAGTCATGACTGTAAACATGCATTACTTGTGTCACGCAGTGCTGTTTCAAAGTACATGTATCTTTGCCGGCGAATACTGCTGTCTCCTCGCTCCTCGCCATTCGCAGGCTAATTGTATCCAAGCAAATGTGAATAAAATCGTTGAATTAAATATGTGTTTACTGTGTTGTTCAATCCAGTGTAGGTTTGATGATCGACAGTGATATCTTTTTGTTGACAATAGAACTAAAAGGAGGGCTTACACAATTATGAAGGTGGTTTTCATCAATCACATCTTCGCCCGCATTTCCTAGCCAACGGCTGCTGCTAGTTAATCACATTAAAATAGTTTCATCTTTTTGTAACGCCACACATCACGGTCTTAAAAGATGTTTTTATGACGTAAAAACTGAACTTTGAAATGTATGTCAACGTGACGTAGACAGCCCTCGGGGCCTACTTGGGTTAATTTTTGCTGGGTATGTGCCGCTGGCCTATCAGAGCCCCTACCCCATTATAGTCTATTCTGTGGCCAATTATAGACCCCATCTTAGTCAATTTTGGGCAAATATGTAATTTTCGCGATCCCAGCTTAGTCACTTTCTATTTTTATGAATTGACCCATAAATAAATATAAAGAACTGTCGTGAATATGAAGAACTGTCTTACCCCAAAAGTCAGAAATGTGCGACCCCATTCTAGTAACTCTATTAAAAATGCGACCCCATTATAGTTAATCTAGTCGTGAAAATGCGACCCCATCCAGCGACACATCCCCAGTAGCCTCTTATATAAAACGAAGTTATGCGTCTGGACAGCAGTATAAAAACGGAATGAATTACTGTATTACTATTAAAATGAGATTAATGATCTATTGATTACTACTAATAGGTATCAAGTTGTGTTTTGTATCCAATTCTAAAGTATGGGCTTTTTTATGGTAACGTCCTGAAAAGGATTGTTGTTCAAAGTTGTTCACAGGGATGGTGACATGTTTTGACAACCTGGTTAGTAAGGACATTTTCAGAGTCAAGGTAAGTTGTATCATGAGTTCATGATGGTATTAAACTCTGGCTATTGAACTAATTGGCTGATTAAGTTGCCATGTTATTGATCGTTTATCAGTTTCGCCTTTTTATTGGCTATGAAGACTCTAAATGTGATTGTTAGGCCCGGTTCAGACGCCGCTCCACTCATGTGCCGAACCTAACTGATGAATTAAGTACGGCAAAAGAGCGGCGTCTGAATCAATTTGGTACGGCAGTTTTAGGCCCGGTTCAGACGCCGCTCCACTCATGTGCCGAACCTAACTGATGAATTAAGTACGGCAAAAGAGCGGCGTCTGAATCAATTTGGTACGGCAGTTTTAGTTTGGTGCGGCAAAAGCGTTAAGTTCGACAGAGTCCGTCGAACTTTTGTCGAACTTAACTTAGGTTCGACACACGGTACGGCGTGTGAATCAGATGTCGCGCCAGGCTAGTGTCGCTCCAAAGTCGAACTTATTCAGTTAGGTTCGGCACATGAAAAGTATGGCGTCTGAACCAGGCCTTAGTTTGGTGCGGCAAAAGCGTTAAGTTCGAGAGTCTGTCGAACTTTTGTTGAACTTAACTTAGGTTCGACACACGGTACGCCGTCTGAATCAGATGTCGCGCCAGTGTCGCTCTAAAGTCGAACTTATTCAGTTAGGTTCGGCACGTGAAAAGTACGGCGTCTGAACCAGGCCTTAGTCACCTTATGAAGTTTACGCAACGTAGTTTTCTTTACTGCTTCCACACTACACTTAGACGAGATTCTGCTCAGCAAATGTTCATCAAAGTGTATGTCTCCTCAATTCAATTTTTAAGGAAAAAAAATTCCGTAGAGCGTGAGTGTTGTAGCCGCCATCTTTGACTCGCCCCATTTCCTCCTCTCTTTTAGAGTTTCAACATGGCGCTTTTGCGAGCAAAAACATTCGCACGCCCGAAGAAAACGCCTGCACAGCTTTTAAAAGGTGTTGCATATTGAGGACGGATTAAGGCATAGTTTTCAGTATACCGGATAGCTTTTGCGCTGACACGAAAAACACAGCGCGATAGGGCTTCGGTTCACACATAAGAACGGTGCTTTTGGCGCGATTTCTGTGTAACAGAGCGAAGCTGGCGCGAGTGGAGAGTCACATCGGATACCGTACTGGATAGTTTTTCGTGTCGGCACGAAAAGCTATTCGATATAGTGTGAACATACCCTAAATAGAAACAGCAGGGGCACCCAGCGACTCTTTTCTGTAAAATATCTGTTCGGAGAAGCAAACATTGCCTAGAATTTTCTATAACTTGAGGACGGCTACAAATTTCTAGATGAACGTTCCATTCACGTACAATAGGTGGTTTTCACGTTACGTCATCGCCGCCATGCTGGTGGACGGTAAACAAAAGATCGCTCATTACCTCGCTTTGTTTGTCCACCAGCATTTGTTCATTTCACCATTGTTATTTGTGTCTCCCGAGATTGCATGAAACCCACCTATTTCGAAACTTATCTGATAAATTCCCTTTCGATTTTCTGAAGCTTAATTTTTCACAGTTCACTTCCCGAGTAATGGTTGTTTTTCGCAGAAAAAGGAAATCTAAAATTTTCGGATACAAAAATGTGATTGAGATAGGAATCGGAAAAATTCTCGCATTCGTAACGCGATAAATTGCATCTAAAATTTTGGGGGAAATAATAAAACCGAAGCCCTGGAAATTTCGAAAATACTCAAAGTCCCCCAGGATGACCGTACAGATACAAGTTTTATAGCGCCGCTTAGAATGCATTTCTAGAGATCTAAAACTACTCAGGATAGCCTAAAAAGTGTTTCAATGTATTTAGGAGGAAATCGTCGTCAGATGCCCTTGAAACAGCGGTTGCTCCGCGCTCCAGGCAAGAAGGGCTGCCTCCCTTCCTCTCCACGTTTGTGGGGGAGGAAGGCGTGACGCGTCTAGAAATTGCTAAAATGGTCGGAAATGCTAC